GTAGGGGATGGGTATTTCCGGTAGATGCTGTAGAGATCGCTCTTGACTTTAATAGCTGCTTTCAGTGATGGAGTCATCCAGGGGCAGGGTTTGTGGCGTGATTTCCGACGAGGAGGTGAGGATCTTCCTATATATAGGTCCAAGGCACCTTCAAGGATGTCAGTGAATGCGGAGACAGCCGTGTCGATGCAGTGGGAGGGAAGGACCTGAGACAAGGGTACATCTGCGAGAAAAACATTCATGGCATTCCACAGGTTATCCGTGGCACTCAGGACATTGTATTTTTGTGTAGATGGTGGGCTACGGCAAGTGCTGGCTGCTGTGGGGGAAGACTTTGAGGAGGAGAACTCAGCCAGCAGGACGGCATGGTCTGATGCGCCAAGAGGAGCCAGGTGTTGAATGTGGTTGAGTTGGTTAGGGATGTTGCTCGCGATATGGTCTAGAAAGCTGCCAAGTCCATTCGAGCGGAGGTGGGTGGGAAAGGCTACCGATTGGGTCAAATTATAGCATGAGAAGAGGTTGTCAAGACTCAGACCCTGTGCATCCGTTTGGTCAGTTGAGCACCAGCCGGAACACCTACAGTTGAAGTCGCCTGATATCACAAGGGCTTCGGGCTTCCGTTGAGTTGATTGCAGGGCTATTTGGAGGCGGTCGAGAAAAGTCGAGAAGTCATCCGTCGACGGGGAAGGAGCACGGTAGATACAGGCTACTGTTAGGTGAGTTGTTGGCAGGAGACAAGCTTATGTTCAGCGAGTGTAAGCCGAAGTGCTAGCGCTTCCAAGCCCGGTTGCTGAAAATCCGGTAGCTGATCAATGGAAGTACACAGACCTTCACGAACTAAGATTAGAACTCCTCCGTGTGGGTCACGGTTCTGTCTATTTTCTAAAACAGGTCGGTCTCGACGGCTGCATTCATAGTGTGGCACGTGGAAAGCTTGTGTGGGAGTTAGCCAGGTCTCTGTGATGCATACTACGCTGGGTGTGTGATCCTCACAGATTTGAATGAGTTCGCCAGACTTGTTTGCTATGGAGCGAGCATTAAGGACACAGATTGTAAGTCGGTGAGTAGCAGCATGTACAGAATGGGGGAAGAAAGGTGGGGCAAGAGCGTTGAGAGGCGCAGGGGTTGAAGTGGAAGAGGAGGGATAAAGGTTACGCATTGGAAGCTGGCTTCGTCACTTTGGGGCTGTCCGCAAAACGCCACTTGCGTACTGAGTGGCTGATGGCTTCGGGCCAGAAGGCTCTGTCTAGTACACGTTCTTCATGTTCTGCAGCCACAGTGACTCTGGCATACTATGTGCCAAGGCATTTCGACTCCATGACGGAGCAATTTAATACTTCCACGTCCCTCGCTTCGCACCAGTCTCTGATGGAGTGAGCGTTGCAACCGCTGTTGATGCTTCCAACGTAGAGCACAAGTTTGTTGATGGGCACCACCCCTGTCAGGACGCACGGATCAGCAGGTTCCGTGTTAGGTGATTCCTTCACGTACCGAGAGGTTAAGTAGCCCGCAGAGCTTTGGATACGCTGTCCGTGATTTTGTTACGACTCCTTGTCATAGCCCTTGGCAGATTATGCCGGCATAACATTTAGCATGATCTTGGGATTTCGTCAAAATATTATGCTCCGGCATATTATACGGATTCCAACGTGTAAGGCCGGCATAATCTTTCGGTTTAGACAAAAATTATGCTTAGGGCATGGCTGTGTGTGTATGCGTGGTTTCTCAATCCTCTATGTTCAGCGTGAATACATAGTGGAACCCTCGTCCGAACCGAGCATAATTCAGCATATTTGTTGGCATAATTGTGGCATAATCAAAAGCATAATTTGACGATTGGCCGAGCATAGTCCGCCAATGGCTACTGCTAGATGACACAGAATGGTTTGGCGCATGATGCTAATATGCACTCGTGCTGTAGTGTCTCCCGAGTCCCCACAACCTCCACTGGACCCGCATTCCAGAAAGGACATTGAGCCACCATTCTCCAATAGCCGCTAAGCGTGATTCACTTTGCGTCTTGGCCGGTGGCGCATCGCACCCATCTGAGGTGTAGGGTAGCCAGCATCCCATCACCATCATCCCTTGCCTCCAGACCACGTGCCTATCCCATTGGTTTGCTTCATAGCAAGCATCATGCAATCACTATTGCATCGACTTACCACTATTATTGTGTCTTCAGCATATACTACCACTAGACGCCGGTGGTACCCCAGTAATCCTCACATTTGAAGTTAAGTACGAAACCCGGGAAGGGAGCTGTACCTGTACGGACGGCAATAGGCTACTCAGACTACGGCCAAACTCGCGTCTGAACTACATGTACATGTACATGTAACTTGAATTTCCACGGTGATGCAGTCATGTTTCACACAACCGAATTCCGACCCCTGAGCGGTGCGCTCACATCGCAAAGACCCAGCACTGCAGGGGATCGTAGCACTACGAAACAGAGATCGCTAGAATCGGTGCTGCACTTGAGCACGAACATCAGGGGTCGAATTTCAGTTGCCACCGTACCAGTGCTGTATCTTCCCTGCCCCTGGTCTTGTGCAAGGCTCGCTGTGTTCCTCGCCGTCAGAGCAAATAATCAGCATATCGATACGAGTGTCATGCTTTGAACTGATTTTGCAATCGGTTCGAAGCGTCAAAATCTTTTACTCTTCCGTTTTGATCAGCTAGACTTTCCAGGCTGTCCAACCGTCCTGCTTTGAGCTTCCTGCTAGCTTTGGACCAAAGCAGGTTTTGTATTACATCTTAAGTTAATTTTACATGGGAGACAATTGCCTTTGTATAGATTATGCTGTGGGTGTCAGTTGGGAGTGGTGACAGGATTGGACTGACTGACCTTCTTGGGAGCGATGCGGCCAGTCACTCTGGCTCTGACTGAGATCTGCTGGTGACATTCACACCTACAAGGGTCTGCAGCCACTATTACAAAAAGTAGTGGCTGTCACACACACACACACACACACACACATACACCACACACACACACACACGCACACGCACACACACACACACACACACACACACACAGTCCTGGGTTGAAGTTTGTGAAATTTGATACAGATCTTGTACATGTAACTCTAAAAATAAGGTACTGTATCGCGCCTGGTTGGCAGGTGCCGTAATTTCGTTAGGCCTTAGGAAGTTTGGGACTCCCCCACTTCCCAGGCTGCCCATTACGAAGTACGGAAACGTTGTCCCGCCAGATTGCCTGCCGCGACCGCAAGTGCCCTGGAATGAAGAATAGTAGCATTGACATTGTAATCACCTTGACTGCATCCAATCTCCCAAAATGGAGAAAATAAAACCCAAGCGTGATGTGACAGGCCCAAGATTGATACCAGGGAGTTGTGAAAATCCTTTTATGACTCCCTGATTGATACCAGGCTAAGCAGTCGACAGGTACCGATCGTGTCTGCCGGTCGGTACACGACCCTTTCTTTGCGGAAATGACCACGGAAATACGGGTGCAAATCATGTGCCGTGACGAAGTCACTACTACTATAGACTGAGTACTGTTTTGTTCTGTTCCTTAGACTTTAGTTCTGCATTGCACGCAAACAAAACAGCATATCTGACAGACCACAAGTACTGTAACAGTAACAGTACTAGTGTTACTGAGTCAGTAGTTCAAGTGATGTCCCCCACTCGTGTTCACCCCATTGCCTGGGCCCAACTGGCCCAGTAAATACTGAGCCACGACCGGCGACTGCCACCACATTCCCCTTCTCGAAGCGCGCTACATCGTTCCACACTCGGTCACTTGCGCCCCGCGCCCTAGCCCTCCCTGCATAGGCGAGTCTACGTCTACTACTAGTACTACTACTACTAGTACAATCAGTCATGTAGTACTACGGTCTAGACTGCCGAGCGCTAGCGCGCAGTGCTGTTAGATCTACGCGCCCCACCAAACTCAAAACCCAAATAAAACGTGTGAGACTGTGACCGATGAGCAAAGATCAAAGCCAAGGCCGGCGATGCGCCTATCGCCTGGCCTGGAAAGCCGAACACATGAAGAGTGAAGTAGAGTAGGGCTGTGTCCTGCACAGTGTAGACCCAGGTACTCGAAGTCCGTACACTTTTACAGTGTGTGTTTGTCGAGCTGAAACTCACACTAGCAATGATCACTTGCCAGAATCCTGCTCGTGGATGGAAGGTATCTTGTCCAAGTTTGTTCTGAGGCCAGGCTCGATTGAACCAGGCCATCTTTCGATCCGATCTGTTTCTCTGGAGTTCGCTGATTTTTCATATCAAATTTTTGTGTCGCGGAGGGTACTCTAAGTCCGTACTGATCAGAGGTGACTCGAAATACACACATATTTCTGCTAATTGCTAACTTGCAATCCCTCGGTTACGACGAAAGCACCGAAGGGATATGTTTGGCATGTGCCTCCACCAGTATTTCTTGCAAAAGCGTAGTTTGTTGCCGAACTGCAAGCTGTTTTAGTCGGCTCAGAGAAGAAGCAGCTGCGCTGTGAAAACCGCTGGAAAACAGTGGTGGAGATGCCAGGAGTGTCAACCTTTCTGCAAGAATTGGTGGTTCTCTGTAAAGTCTTCTCCTCTGGCCATTGTCAGCTCTAAGCTGGCTCTTGATGATTGAGTGAAGGTCTGTTTGACGCTGTGTCCGTTCGAAATCGGTCTTGGCAAAGTTGATTTTTGCATGAAATGTAACCCAATTTGTATTTCGTATGGGCACTCGAAAACCCACTCGCGTGGTATGGGACTTCTGCTTATCGTAGATCCCTGAAAATTGCTACGCGAGGAGAACATACCACACTGTCCCCTCGATAAAATATTTGAGTCGAATACAATAACAGAACATGAAATTATGGGCGTACGAACTTAGGATACCATGTACGGACTTCGAGCACCTGGGTCTACACGGAAAGGAACGGTGGCTTGCCTTGCTAGCTGTGTTGCGCACGCCCGATCTCTCTGGCCACTGCACTAACTGTGACTTGCACTGCACACGATAATTATGTCATGTGCCACACAGCTGTAGCGTATCCCGTGCCGATTTTGTCCGTTTTATCTCTACTTTTAGCGGCTGCGCCCTGTGCTACGGCATGCTGGCTTTGGATTACTGAGTATGCATTGAAGGCAGTGTCAGTGAGAGTTGATTACGAAGAGGACTTGAACTAAATAATTGAAGAAGAATAGAATGTACATTGTCGCTGTTCCACAATCACTCTTCAAACATTGTTAGCGTTCAGTGTTTCGCACCTGTTCGGAGAGCAGCTAGCAAGGCCGCTGGCGGTCAGAAGTTCTGAACTCTCCGTGTTTTTTTATCTACTAGTACCACTAGCGCACTGGCTCTTCTGCGAAGGACCAGCGACAACTGGATACTGCAGTCGGCGCTTGAAGCGCGCATTTACCCTGTGGCTTGTGTGTCCTTGGCTAGCTGGGATTTGCTGACGAGCGTGAGGCGTAGTATAATAGTGCATTGAGGAGCTGAGAATTTGGCGAGTGCGAGTGCTGTTGTTGCCAATCGGCGTCATCCTCAGAGAAATGAACGGCAGTCGTCGGAACGCCCAGGTTCTCGCTAAGCTGGACGACGTGCTGAAGAAGGCAGGGAACGAGAAATGCGCCGAATGCTTTGTGCCTGGTAAGGATAGCTTTGCGTATGGAACACCTCTGTCTCTCTTGCTTACTCTGCACGTGCGGGGTTTGATTTCATGTTTCAAAGCCAGTGTATTATTGAAAAGGTAGTTTGCGTATTGCAACAAACATGATTGTAAAAAGACGTGTGGGTAAAATTCATGTCAATGCTGTATCGCAAAGTAACGACATTTTCTGTCTCAAAATGTTGTAATTTATATGTTTTGCTGGCGGTGGCATGCCGCTATATCCATGATGCAGGGTTATTTTGGTAAATGGTGCGCAGCAGTAGCGTAACATAAACCCATTGTTATTGAGCACTGAGCCATAGCAACTAATTACTTTGCCAGCCATCTGCTGCAAAACAATTTTTTCGTACCATAAAATAATTGTGTGTGTGCGTGTGTGTGTGTGCGTGTGCGTGTGCGTGTGTGTGTGTGTGTGTGTGTGTGTGTGTGTGTGTATTGGTGCACGTGCACATGTGTGTGCATGTGTTTGTGTCTGTGGTTAAACATGCCGCAGTGTCACGATGCACACCACACCACACATTGCTAGCGATGACAGTTAACCTGTTTTGAAAATATTACTTGAACGTCTGGCCCAGAAATAGAGCCTTCCATTCATGCTCATCGTGTTTTTATGGAAACAAACTTACGTTAATGGTATGCTTTAGGATATGGCTATCACTTCATCATTCTGTAAATCAATCAGTGCAGATGTTTCCATGTGCTGTTCTGCCTGGTGGCATGATACTTTGGCAGGCTCTCTTTCATCATGTACGTCCCCCCCCCCCCCCCCCCCCCCGAACTGAGTATTGAGCGCCTAGGGAGGACCTACAGTACGTCACTTGAGCGCAGAGGGATAACAAACTTGTACCTGAGTGTGTGTTTTCCCTCTACTACATGGAATGTACTCCTGTGGGCAAGTAGCCAATTACTCTTGGTTGTCCGGGGGGGGGGGGGGGGGAACTTCCCAGGTGGCGCAAGGTGTTTGCTAGTCTGGCCCCGTTTATGGCAGAGCTATACAGCTTGACAAACTACTGCTGAATATAAAGCCGTCCCTGTATTTGGAAACACGTGTGCTGATGAGAAAGAGAGAGTAGAGATTATTGTAGGGTTCAAGTTTGTATTTCCGCAAAACTCCTTTTCTCGTGGATTTTAATTCATAGATTCGGAAGCACCTGCGGGTGATTCTTGTGTACTGATGTTACCCACCACCTGTGCACATGTTTATGATTTCGTTAGTACATATAATTTCAAAGGCTTCCGAATTGTGTGCTTTCACAGAGAGAGAGAGAGAGAGAGAGAGAGAGAGAGAGAGAGAGAGAGAGAGAGAGAGAGAGAGAGAGAGAGAGAGAGAGAGAGAGAGAGAGAGAGAGAGAGAGAGAGAGAGAGAGAGAGAGAAAGAGAGAGAGAGAGAGAGAGAGAGAGAGAGAGAGAGGGAGGGAGGGGGAGGGAGGGAGGGAGGGAGGGAGGAGGGAGGGAGGGAGGGAGGGAGGGAGGGAGGGAGGGAGGGAGGGAGGGAGGGAGGGAGGGAGGGAGAGACAGAGAGAGAGAGAGAGACATGGACAGGGTCAGACGTAGAGAGAACTATGCATTTGTACACAGGATGGGTGACATGCACTAGGATAAAGAGCCGACTGATAGCCGAAGCAAAGATAGAGGAGAGCTCAGTTTTGTTGGAGATGTGAAAAATCACTGAAAGAGCATAATGTAATACTTTTCAAGCTGTAGTTTATGCCGGTGGGGGAGAGAAATTTGTGATTGTAGTGCACTGATTAGCACAGAGAAATGAAATCAAGGCCTTCAAAATAAATAAAGCCTAACAGTCCTACATTTGTAATGGAACTGATCTTTACAACTTTCCTTCTGTTCCCTTCTTGTTGTCTGTGCTGTGCACAGAGAAATGATGCCAAGCCCTTGAAAATAAATAAAGCCTAACGGTGGTACATTTGTAATTGAACTGATCATTACAACTTTCCTTTTGTTCCCGTCTTGTTTATCTGTGCTGTATGTATTGTTGTCACAGATCCGGAGTGGGCCTCCACCAACCTGGGTGTATTCCTCTGCATACACTGTAGCGGTGTGCATCGCAGACTAGGCGTACACATCTCTCAGGTCAAGAGCCTCAAGCTGGATGACAAGTCATGGACGCAGGAAATGGTTGATGTGAGTTTATTTTTTATTTTATTTTATTTTTTACGAATGACGTAATCCCTATGATCAGACAGAGAAGGAAAAAACGCACAAAGGAAGAGAAGAACGGGTAATTGCCAACGGTTGTCTGTTGGTGCTGCTAGACTAGCGGCAGTGCTGGTGGGGCATGGTGGACTCCCCCGACCACTGGTCTCGGGCCCTAGCCATACTACACGCACCGAATATGATACTGTAAGAAAGTCCATTTGTGGAATGCCGGAGTGCTGTGCGCTGTGCTGTTCTTCATTGCTGACTAACTTCAATACCAGTGTTGTGAACAGTGCGCTAATGGGGTGATAGTGCTGGAGCAATATGAACAGTGTTTCTGAAATAAGATTTGTCTCTTTCATTGCGGCTCCAATCACACAAAGATGTCATCTATTTCCTTGTCTCCATAAGTTGTCCTTCTCTTCTGTGTCCTCTCCCTTTCTTTTACATTCTGTCTGTCTGATATTCTATCTAGCTGTCTGTCTCTGAGTCTGTGTGTATGTACAGTCAAACTTTGCGTATAACGACACTCGGCGGGGCATCAGAAAAGTATCCATATTCGCAAGTGTCCTTATACCCAAAGTCTCATTATATGTATCACAGTTAGATGGGACTTTGCTCTGGGCATGGAAATTCTGTCGTTAGTCGGTAATTGTCATTATATCCGCAGTCGTTATTAGCGAAGTTGACTGTATGTGTCTGCCTGTCTATCTGTCTGTCTATCTGTCTATCTGTCTGTCTATCTGTCTATCTGTCTGTCTATCTGTCTATCTGTCTGTCTATCTGTCTTTGTGTGCATGTGATTGTATGTCTGTATGTGCGTATGTTTGTGTATGTAGAATCTTGAGACGGTAGGGAACGTAGGAGCCAACGAGCACTGGGCTAAGCATGTACCGTTAGCGTTCAAGCGACCCAGACCGGACGAAAGACCGTAAGTACCCAACGTACACAACAACACACGGGGCTGCCAGAGGGAAATAGAAACCAAACTTTCACCCGGAGTACAATGATGGCTGCAACTTCATGGTCCGAAAAGGAGAGTACATGCAACTGTTTACATTCCAAACATAGAAAATGCACTTGACTTCGGGTACAGCACTGCGATGTGTCGTGCAACTGTTGACGGAGAGGTACCACTGATGCTGTGAATGGGATTTTTCGGTCTCTGACCACTTTGCGGTGGGTCTGATCTACTCACATCCCACTGCTTTAGGAGCTGCATCTTCGCCTTGATTGACCCCTTGACGCTGGTGGTGTTCGTATTGATGCAGCCTTCTCTGATTAACTCTCACGTGAACGCATCAATTAGTGTGTTTGCACGTGTGCACAAGGCTGTGGTGGGTGGGACAATCTACATATGGCTGGTTGAAGGCACATTTGGTATAAGCAAAAGGCGTGATCAGCCTGGATGCCATCCCAATCACATGTGCATGTGTGTTTTGTTGTGGTCTTTTTTTGTTTTGTTTTGTTCAGAGATTCTGTACTTCGCGAGCAGTGGATACGAGCAAAGTACGAGCGCAAAGAATTCCTCTCGGAGAGCCACCCTGCCTATCTTTGCGGTAAGGCTCGTCAAACGTTCCTGATGCAGCATTTCACTGCTCACCTGGAAGACTCCATGACATCATCTTTAGTATGCTGTTATGTCATCATTCTTCTTCTGTCACTGTGGATTATAGTCCATGATGTCATCTATCTTTTTCTGCTTCATACTACTGCATATCCTCAAGTGTTTTGTGTATAACCTGTGCGCTACTCTGTTGTGGTTTTTGCATGTTGTGGAGAAGTCAAACATAGTAGTGAGTACGTGTCTTGTACCCTTGTGTTTTTGTACTGCCCCCCCCCCCCCCCCCACACACACACACACTCATGGCATCAGATCCTACACAAACCATATTCGTGCCTGTGCTTGTGTCTGTTTTCAAACTGGCTACGCTCTCTCTCTCTCTCTCTCTCTCTCTCTCTCTCTCTCTCTCTCTCTCTCTCTCTCTCTCTCTCTCTCTCATCAACGTGTGCACAGGAGCACGGAGCGGGCTGCTGTACAAGAAAGGCAAAGGTCGCAACGAGTGGAAGCCACGTTGGTTTGTCATGAATCAGAAGGAAGGATCGCTATCCTACTTCAAGTCAAGAAGTTCGGTAAGGAGATAGCTCTCTGTCTTGCAGCTGCGCCTAATGGCATGCACAGCTGCTTATCACAATCATCCCAGAGCAATGGTTCTGTCTTCAACCCACAAGGGCTGGACTGTTAGATGTGTTCAGGATAGTCTTCAACACGGGTCAGGGGAATTTGCGTCTCCTTATGTTCAGGCCCTGAGTGCCACTGCACCCGTGTCTTTGTCTAGATCACTGTTGGTTACTGTAAACCGTTAACTTATTGCAATGGTCTAATTTCTGCGGAATTCGCGACCGCGTGGAAATCGCGAAATTTAGACAGCGCGAAAAGGAGCTCCATGAAAGGTTTAGCAAGAATGCCACAGTAGCACATTCTGCAATCGCAAAATTAAAACCTCGCAAACCTGTCCGGATTCTGAAAACGCGAACTAAAAACGCCGCAATAATTTCACGCTTTACAGTACACCACTCTCTGATCATATCCCTATAACCAATCTCTTAGCTCCTAAATTTAGGACCACCTGTCCAAGAAGACCGCTGAAACCAGGACCGAGGGCTGCTATTTCCAGTCAAATGACCCTGGATACGGAGACCACCTGGTGACAGAGACCACATTTGAAGGTCCCTTGAGCGGTCATCTTAGACAGGTTTCATTGTAGTAATATCCGTCACTCTGTCTGTGCAAACTGGGTTATAATGTTATCAGCTTCAAAATTCAAAAGCAAAAGTATCTTTTCCACTCAAATTAAACTGTTTATAATAGTAATCGGCTATAGCAATATATCGCCTATTATGATCAAACTCTCACTTCAAAATCACTCAATTGCATACATGATGGATCGTTTATAGTAATTGTTGGCACGTACAGGAAGCTTTGGGAAACTGAGATTGTATAAATGCTGTGTTCTACCAGCAGTGTGGTCATAAAATAATTTGATACAGGGTTTTTAATTTTAGAAAGGAAAAGGACATTATGGATACGAGTTAAGAGTAACTTGTGCCTAGTTATTGCACTTTCTGACTGTATATAGTATCCAGTTACAGTGATGGAGAGTTACTCTGAACTCGTATCCATATGTCCTTTTCCTTTCTACATTTATTTATGGCTCAACATCCGAGTTGTTATTTTTGTACTTTATACGTCTCGGTATTACATGAATGATGCACATCTGTCTGTGTATTGTCATCATGACTATTAAAGTCGTAAAGTTATCACTTCCATACTTTGCAGTAACACCATGTCCAATCGAATGTAGTAATACTCGTCTACAGTGATCAAATCTCGCTTCTTCAAACACCAACGCTATATCGGATCTCTACCTGCACTCACATAGATGATGCACAATAGACTTGACTACAAAATTATATTGTGCAGTGAATCCTACTTCACACAAATGTTTGGAGACCAGGGAATCTTTCCCCTGTTATCAGAATTGTGTTTTGAACCAGCTTGTTCAGTATTATACTTCCTCCGGAAAAAAAGGCCGTGACTTTGATAGACCTGTCTGTTTTGGTGAACTGAGCTCTGAGGAATCAAACCAGACAGACTCCGAGATCTAGTAAAACGTTGCCAAGTTTTGGTACAATAATGTACATGTTGCAAGTACAGTCAACTTCGCTTATAACGACAATTCGCGAATAACGACAGAATTTCCATGCCCAGAGCAAAGTCCATACTACCTGTATACATGTAATGAGACTTCGGGTATAACGACACTTCGCGAATAAAGACACTTTTCTGATGCCCCACCAAGTGTCGTTATAAGCGAAGTTGACTGTAAGTATATCCACTTACTTTGCTGAACTGGTTTTGTTCCTATGAACCCAATTTCTTTATCACAGTGACAACTTAGGATGTGGATAAAAAAGTCACCAAGTTTTTTTGTTTCCGGAGGAAGTATTTTTTTTTTTTTTTTTTTTTTTTTTTTACTGAATACCACAGTACCATCAGATGCTGCACAGCGGGGGCGGTGGCATATTGGATGGAAGTGGGGGCGGGGCAAAAGTAACTCCTCCGACCAAAGGTCTCGGAATCATTGTTACTCCTGTGCGCCGATACATAGGAGAAAAGAAACATGTGCATCCAAGAGGGGAGCACTGGCTTTGCAAACGATAATGGGGAGAATTTGAGATTGGGATAGGACAAAACAATAGTAAAAGCAGTGCACCGTAGGAAGATGGAGTGAACTGATAATCGGGTTTTAAGGCTGAGCGAAGGGGATCAAAGACGGGTAGAAGGGAGCTGGAGTGCGGTCAGTATAATTAGGCTGGTGTGTTGGCAGAGATCATAGCCTGTCTGTGGCCCACTCCCACTTGCTGCGCCGCAAGTGGTCGTTGACGTTTTTCTTGAACGTGTGCATGCCTCTGCGAGAAGGGGGAGACTGCAAGTATCATTTGCATGTATTCCAGTTGGAAGTTTCTTTCGTGTCCATGCGAATGTGTCTGGTGCATGTGTTCCCATACACTCCACCCTAGAGTACCCGTTTTTCCCTCGTGAACTGCTCTTCCTGTTACAGAGGGGATTACTGTGCTAACTTGATGTCAGCTGCTAGTGGAATGTGTACCTGAATTACAACAAAACACAATGCAGCACAGAGCTAGAGATACATGCACATTCTGATAATGTACTGGAATTGGGCAATGGGTAATGATCGACCATTTCGCCGACCAGGAGGCTGTAATACTAACCCCAGGAACTACCGTAATGCTTAAAGAAATTCAATGGAGTCACTCACGACCGCCCCGGGAACTGTGTAGCCCTAGACGTGCAAACACTGGCTGTAAAATCGTGCAAGGCACAAACTTGACTCGCGCGATGGTATATCATTGAGCAGCACAGTAGCTCCAGATCTGATACATGTGTAATGCTGTGCACCGTGAGACATGTTCTGCATTGTAATGCTCTAAATCTGACCGGCTGATTGCGTTTG